TATATATTATCATCTTCCACATACTTCTAATCAAATATATTTTTCAGTTTATCACTTCATCACTCACATTCACTACCCACTCGATATGCCTTCTCCAGGTTTGTGTTGTTTTCATCGATCACACGAAAACAGGAACCATAGTCCAAGCGAACCTGTCAAAGAGGCTGAACGAAGGAACACATCTCCACATAACCAAACCGACCAGAGAAGTGGTTACCCAACCGTACCTATCACAGTTGTTGAACAAAGGAGCAAATCTCCACCTAGCCAAACCGAGGACAGAGACCATGGTCCAAGTGTGCCTGTCAAAGAGGCTGAACGAAGGAACACATCTTCACATAACCAAACCGACCAGAGAAGTTGTTATAGAAGCGTACCTATCACAGTTGGTGAACAAAGGAGCAAATCTCCAATTAACCAAACCGAGGCCAGAGACCATGGTCCAAGTGTGCCTGTCAAAGAGACTGAACGAAGGAACACACCTCCACATAACCAAACCGACCAGAGAAGTTATTATGGAAGCGAACCTGTGAAAGAGGTTAATCGAAGGAACAGATCTCCACATAACCAAACCGACGAGAGAAGTTATTATGGAAGAGTACCTGTCAAAGAGGTTAAAAGAAGGAACAGTTCTCCACATAGCCAAACCCACGAGAGAAATTATTATACAAGCGTACCTGTCAAAGATGCTGAACAGTACGATAGATATCTACTTCATAAAACTGAAGGCAGGGATCATGATCAGAGCGGACGTGACAAAAATTATGAAAAAAAATACGAATTTCTCGTTAAAGGAATGTCACGCAGAGCTCTGGAGATGTACAATATCATCAAACATCGAGGAAGTAGAGAAGAAGAGACTCTCTATGTGAAAAAGACTAGGAAAGTTAGACCTGATGCGTTGATTAAGAATTTGAACCAATTTCAAACAGTCTGCAGGTCTTCAACAGTGAAGGATGGCATCAGTGAAATGATCTGCAATATCCAATTTATGAATCCTCGCGGCGATACTCGAATGTTTGTTTGTCGCAGTGGTTTGAGAAGTGAAGCAAAGCTCGAATTCGTATGCCTCGTAGTACATAT